CGTTGAAGACAGTTCATACATATGCAAATTACTAAATTTCTGAGCAGATAACAGCAAGAGATGGAAGCCTGGATAGAGCCCACAGTCAGAGATTGGAAGCTCTCCCCGAGCCCCTCACCTCGCAGTGTGGGACAGACGGCTTCCTGGCTCCTGCCGCTGTCAGGGGTTCACGTCTGATTCGCATCCTGCTGGCCTTGAGCATTCACAACTCTGCAAGTATTTTTTTTCCAACTATTTTTTAATGAATCCCAGGGATAGAGTTTCCATAGCTACTCTAGATAGTTTGTTTTAATGTTAAACTATCCTTGTAGTGAAAAAAAAAATCCAGATAGGTCAGCAAAACAGCCCTCTCTGGAAAAAAAAGAACAGTTTTCTTTTTCCACGCTCGGTAACAAGGATTTGTCATCTTCTTACATAAGCCTTATTCATATTTGAGGACTTGTCAAGGTTTCCCTCTGATGGTAGAAACAACTCTAATATGATTTGCATGTCCTTATTTGAATTATTTCCTTCTCGTCTGTTTACTTGTCTTACTGCTTGATTGTCTTAAATGCACAGCCAAAAACTAGAGTTAATACTGTAAGGATTCACTAGTGTTAAGTAGAATGAAATAATTACCTCTTGTATCTTACATATAAAACTCCTGTAAGTCATCCTAGAATGACACTTGACTCTCATCATCACATCATACTATTGATTCATATTCAGCTTCTGGCTCACTAAAATCTCTGGGCTTTTTTAATTTTTTTTTCCACAACACAGCAGCTTAGGCAGTTTTTCACAATTCTATTTTTTCCTTTTTACTGTGATCTGTTGAATGATCTGAAGTCAAGCAGACAAATTTGAAAAATCATTTTGAATTTTACAAATGTTATGAATCACAATTTGTACAGTTTACAAATTACAAATGCTTGATTTCAGATCACTTTTTTTTTTTTTTCTTCCAGCTGAACTATTTTGCTTTTCAGGACCGCTTATGACTCTTCCAGGTTGCATTTTCATGTATTTAATGAGCATGATGTATACCCCTGCATTCAAATTGCTTATAAAAAACACCCGACAGGACTACATCAAATTTCATCAAGGACTATTTGAGCCACCTTCCCACTTTTTGAGTATCTACTAACTTGTGCACCTAACTTGCAGTACTTTTATCTAGACAGTATTTCTGCAGCTTGTTTAAAAGCTAGACCTTTGTCTAAAGCTGCATTCAAAGTCTAGATATATCTACTGCTTCTTTCCCACCGAGTAGTCTAGTTATCCTGACAAAAGCAGCTGCTGATACTTTTGATGTGATTTGCTTGCATATTCACACTGGCAGTTTCTTAGTACTCCAGTATTCTCTAAGACCTTGTATTTACAAAAATAATTCCTATTCCTATCCTTCAGTCCACTGGTACCTCTCCTGCCCTTGCAGAGTTCTTGAAGGGAATCACAGGGTTCAAAAGCTCATCAGACCTGTATCTTCAGGAGTCTTAAGGTAAACTTCATTAAGCTCTGATAACCCAGCTATATCTAGTTTACACACATTAAATACACTTGAACATAGTTTCTCTTCAGTATTAATATTGCACAATTTCAGCGTGATCAAAGAACAGTTTTTTTTTTTTTTTTCCTTTCTTGGCTCACCAATACTTAAGTGCTGCAAACCTCAATTAACTTGTGTTATTATAGAGCAGATGCATTACCAGGCGGAAGAGGGAGTAGCAATGTGGAATATTTCCACATTATTAACTATATCTGTTTGCAGCTCAAACCAGTTAATCTCTGAACCAAACCCGGTAGGTTGCTCAGTGTTGCAAACTGACGCAGTCTTGTGTCAGTGGGCTCACGTTCCACCAAACCACCTCATGGAAGGCACTGACCTCCTGAAATTCTAGTTTTGCTGCCCTAGCCAGCATATCACTGGCCTTTCCTTAATTATCTGGAAAACTGCTGCTATTAACTGGACTTTACAGGGCAGCCTGTGACAGAGGAAGTTGTTGCAAGGAATTGAGGTAGGAAGTATTTTTTTAATTTCTGCAGCCACTTCAGAGTATTGCAAACTGCCCTTTTGTGGGCCTAATGTTTATCGAAAAGTGCACTTCAAAGGCTCAAGTCTTAGAGAAAGATAACATTATGACCACAAAACCCAGCACACTTTTTCCTTGTAATTTCTTTAACCATTCAGTCATTTAAAAGGTGCACACACACAGTAAAGGCTTATGACAACTTTATTTTGCTGTATTTTGAACAGCAAATACTGCATTCTGTCCAGGACTCTGGAGAGTAATGTGATCACTTAATTTAATCATTTTCAATTGCAGATCTTAAAGGTATATTGGCACGTTTAATTTGTTCTTTGCTCAAAAAAGAAAAGGAGGAGAAAAAGCTAACATAGCTGTTAGTAGTGCAAGATTAGTCTTCCTATTCTGTGACTGCAAAAATATAGCTAAAATATACATAAATATATACCTAATTATACCTTAGCAAGCAGTTTACAAAATGAATATACAGTGCTCAGCCATCAAAAAGTACATGCATTTTTCATGTTTACTTCTACTAGCTTGCTGTTGCTCCTGTGTATTTCATTATGGATTCCAGATAACATTTAGGTATAAAGTATAATGTCATTCTGAGTTGTTACTATAGCAGCAACAACTGCATTCAAGAATGAGCAAATGCAAGTGCTGCTACAAGTATGCATTTAATTAAACAGGAGTTATTAGCTAAACTTTCTCATTTCCAAAACTGCCTTGTTTTTGTCACATACCTGGAAAAATGCAAAAAAGTCCTTTTTATCCTTTTTTTTTCAAGATACAATTGTATTCCCTCTGTATGTATTTCAGGTTCTACTTTTGCATTCATTCATGACATGTATTTGCAGGATGTAAATGGCAGAATGGGCATTTATTCAATACATTTTTGTCTTACGCTACCCAAATCACACTGGGAACTATTCAGAGAACAGTTCTAGTCACTTTTATTTTTTTTCCTTAAAAAAACAAACAAACAAACCCCAAAACAGTAGTATTTTTCTCTCCACTTTTAAACATGTTCACTGAACAGCAAATAATGTCTATTAGGAAATTTTGAACAGGAAGAAGTTACAATTACCAGATCCAAGTGCCAGAGATTGGAATGCACATCTTTAAAGGGCAGAAAAATCACCAAGGGGTACAAAGGGAATACAGACACGATAAATGCTTGACTAAACTGCATTTATGTGCAGACCAATACTAGCTGTTACCTTTTTGATTAAGTTTTAACCTCTGCAGAATCTTTAAGGCAGAGGTATGTATGCTCATTGCAGATTTAAAATCTGTCATGATCCAAAGTTAGCTCCAGCATATATCATTATAATCAGTATCCCACAACACTATACTTTGTAGTCCTTCCTTTAATCTGTCTGTAGAAATGCAAAATCCTGTTGGCTTTTATTGGATTACACTTTGCTCATTTTTGCAAAAAACTATAATATTCCATACATTTAATTACTACTTATCCACTATTTTTCTTCTACATACTTAGATATTACAGAGTAACAACATCTGGTACAATCTAGATTTGGTGAGCTGGCTAGTAATATGAAATGCCTTTGGCTTTCTAATTCAAAACTGTAATTTGGGGGGCATTTTTCCTTAAATAGTTTATATAACTCTGTAATTTTAATACTTGAACTACAGCATTATTAGAGCAAATACATAATGTCTTCATATTCTCCATTGTATCAAAACTGGGTTGTTTTGCACAGAGTCAACAGCGTATTTATTTATTGGTGTTGCCTCTGATTGAGCCACTTGTCAATTGCATCCTCATATTTTTTTGGTTCCTTTAACCAGTCTTGATGCCACCTGAGGTTGGCAATAACATTTGAGTAATTCTGACCCAAACTTTGTCTCCAGCTGATAAATTGTCTCTTATTATACTCCTGAACAGAAGAAGAAACCTTTGGATAGTTTACTATGGAGCGAAGTATTTTGTCCAAGGAATGCACAACTACTGGGAACTTCATGGCAATGTTTTCTAATTCATCTGGATCAGCAGATAGGTCTAGAACAAACAAAAAGTCATTTAAGAGCCAAGTTACATTTAGATAAATCAATCAGTCAACTAGGATATAAGAAATTATAACACACCGAAGAGTTGTGGAAGTACTGAATTGCCATCAGAGTATGTGATATACTTCCATGTGTCCGTTCGGAGCATGTATGTGGAAGAATTCACATTGCAGCCATGAAACTCACTCAGTACCCATGGAGGCCGAGGCTTTCTAGTTGACACTTCATTTTCTGCCTCTTCAAGTAACAGGGGCATAAGAGAATATCCACTGAGGTTCTGCTGAACAGGAATTCTTGCTATATCTAAGCAAAGAGAAACACAGCACGCTAATACCGTTATCTTGATTTAAAAAGACTAATGTAAGATTATGGGTGTTTGAACAGCAATTCTGCTGCAGGAAAGATCTGTAAAAAATAATAAATACTCTTAAAGGAACTTTAAGAGATCATCTGCCCATCATCTTGACCAAATGCAGTTTCGACTGTGTCAATCCCTACAGATGTTTGTTAAAACTGATGTTAAAACCACCAGTGATAGCTGCTGCTTCTTCATCTTCTTATTCATGAGCTGATACCCTTCCTTCCGCCCTGACTTCCTCAGGTAGGATATATAGATCAATGTAAAGAACCCTAAAAGCTCTACATGCAACACAATGTGGAATCTACCTGGCATAACCTTTACTTTGATAGTAAGGATGCTAAGTTCTTGTCGAGCATTCTTCATCAATGAATAACAAAACACTTCACAAGAAGTGGTCATTATAGTTATCACCGTCTTTCAGGTAGGGCAGCTGAGGAACTGTGCTGCTCTGGTAGGGCTGAAGATATGTAGTGTGCATGCAGAAAACACTACAGCCTACCAGATGATCCTGGGAAGATGCTCCGACATGGATAGCCCCACTTCATCAACTTACAGGGCAAGTGACTCTAGCTGTAGATAAAGTCAATATCAGAAGTCTACAAAGATCCTCTGGCATATCCTGGAAAACATGGTTGAGAATCCCACCTATGTTACATAAACTTTGGGGCTTCCCAAAAATGGAGTATTGAAAGTACTACTACTTTTCACCACCCTTCTGAACAAAGCATTTAGTCATCAACATTTTCCGTTTTGCAAAGGACTGGAGGAGTATTTTATCTCCTGCTTTATGAAGTTCTTACAGTGACATCCAGTACATATAGATTGCCTATATGTGACTTTTTCCCTTTAGCAGCACATATCTCCGCTTTTCTCCTGTTTTGTTTCTGCAGTACATAAAACTGTCATTAATCTGTAGCTCTTGCTCCAGTAAATAAATACACTTTGAGGCTGTGTTTGAGTTAGCAGTAGGAAGACATGTAACATATAAATTCCATAGCCTACAGTGTATTGTCTAAAAACTTGAACAAATGCATACTAAGTCTGAAAAAATGCAAAAATACAAAGAAGATATGACTTCTGGATTCCTACACTGCTAAAGGTATCAAGTGGAGCCACTGTGAAGACTTTTCAAATGAAAAGAATTTTCCAGGCTGAGGCCTTCAATAGCTCCAGCTTTTCCACTGGAGCTCCAAACGTATCATAAAGACCAACAAAAAATATACAGAAGGATTCTACACTGGTTCCTACTTACAGAAGTACATTTTTACCTACTGTACCAGATTCCCTCAGGCAATTGCAATGCACACCTGACACTTTTTAAATAAAGAACTTTGGAGATTGCTTTAGAAAGTTGTTTGTTTGGTTTCTTCTTTTTTCCTGGTCTTTATATTTTTTTTTACACATGGCCCTTAGAAATTCCTCTGATAAGGTAATAAGTTAACGTCTCTGGAGCTTTAAACCCATCTCTGGATGTACTTACAATATATTTTCTGTAGTAAATTGCTAGATATTAAGACTAGTAAGGATTATTGATTTCTAAAGCATGTCTGACTGACTACATACAGAATTATCTGTTAAAAATATTACTTGCATTTGTAAGATAGGAAACTGTCTCTGTAATTGTGTCAATGATGGTAACAGTGATAACGAATATCTTTAGCTCCCTTATTTAATTCTTTTATCTCCTTTTGCATTTTCTATCAATCTGAATGCACATTCCTCAAGTAAAATGTTACTTCTGATTATGTTGGTACTTCTAACTTGCTTCAGAAAGTGCAGATCTAATTCCAGCTGTAATAGAGATGCGCAATAATAATTAGCAACTGAAAAAAACTTTAATTCCATTTGAAATGATGCAACTCACCAAGCATAGTAGGATAAATATCCACAAGAGATACCACATTTGATATTTGCAGTTGCTGTCTGATGCCTGGCCCCATAACTAAAAGAGGAACATGGGAACTCCCTTCATACATGCTCATTTTATAGAACTGCCGGTGGTCCATAGCAAGTTCTCCATGGTCTGCAGTGAATATGATGATTGTTTGCTTTAGAAGCCTGGTATCTCTCAGAGCTGAAATAATCTTACCTGCAACAAGATATTGGAAAATATGTTCAGAAAATTCCTTAAAAATTCTGTGTATCTCCAGGGCAGCCTGCAAATTCTGGAGCATCCTGTTCAAAGGTCTTGAAAATCTTTTCTCTGCCATAGAAGGCAGAGCCCAAAGACTCCAGTCCTGAACAACACCTAGTAGTAGATGTGGCTGCAGGTGTCTCCCTCCCAGTGAGCTGTGGAGGGAGCTGGGACAACAGCTGTAAAACTTTCAAAGGGTGAGGATGTACCAGAAGATGGGATGCATTTTTGTTATAGGAGCCTTTGGATAGTTTCCATCATAACTGGTAATAGACAGTTCCTACACCTGAAGTAAAACAGGGCAGCAGAAGTCAGCATACTAGATTTAGTGTGACAGATTCCCAATGGTTCTTGTACCTAATCAGCAAATGTCTCCCTTTCCTGTGCCTGATTCCCCACAGGAGCCCTTAGGCTTATGCAAGGAAGACAGAATCAGGATCAATGAAATTAGTAATTAAGCAAAACACTTGCACATCTTTAATGTTAATTCCTTGGGATGATTCTTGCTTAAAGAAACTAGTTACCAGCTTAAAATACATCTCTGAATTAAATCCTAGTACAGGGTTACTCTGCAACATTTTAATTTCCTCAAACCTGTCAGGACCTTGTTGATCTCTTTTCAATTATAAATGCAAAAGATCAATCCTATGCATCTTTAAAAAATAGTTTATCATTTTATCATTGCTAAAATATTAACTTATTCATATTAGAATACAAATAAATTCTTGCTCTTTTACTGTCACCTGTCAAACTAAGAAATAAAACACTACTAATTAAGACTAATTTGCATTATAACTTTTACCTATATAGGTCTGACAACAAACTCTGAAGAATTCTGAATGCTTTTTTTTGTCTTTTTAAATTTTCACTAATATGCTGGTAATACGGAAGCTAATATGGAAGCTCAACTTTATGGTTTAATCCACGAGTAGTAGTTTTCATCCATTCCATGATCAATCTTTGCTCATAACATCTATCTCCAGGGAAACTGCTTGAGTCCCCACATTTATGTTTCTCTCCTTTTTTTTTTTCCTTTCTCTTGTTAGTATTTTTCAACTTGCCCTGAATTCACATAGCCTTAAGAGTTGTGCAGTTGTTTATCATAAATATTAAGCTATATAGAGAGTGACTTACTCCCAAATCTGAATTGTTACTTTCAAAAGACCTGCCATACCAGCATTTTCTTAAAACAAAACAACTCCCCTCCACAGTATTATGAAACATTACCTACCAAGCATGGCATCTGTCTCTGCACACATGGCATAATAAAATGCTCTGATATTCCTCACTTCTTCATTTGTAAACTCTCCTGTGCAATTCTTGGTGTAAGATGAGTAATAGTCTACTGGATGCATCTCTGAAAGAGAAGACCACTTGGGAATTTTAATAGCTTCATATGATACCTAAAAATAAGTGAAAATTAAATTACTTCAGGCAGTGAATTATTATTTTCTTTTTACAAATACATTTAATTAAAAACTTTAAAGTATAAATTAATGGTATTAAAGTTCTGGTCCAGGGAAGACCAGCTGCTTCTCTGTTACATGGTATTGCTACCTCTTTCGTATTTTCCCTCTGTTTTCTCAGGTATCAAGTCATTTAATTAGAAAAGAGGGCTACAAAAATCATCTAGAAACTAAGGATAGGAGCCAGAAATAAGTGCTTTGCTTATATTTTTTTAAAAAAGAGATATACTGTAGAAAAAAAAATCTAGAACCAAATTGGAGAGTAATTACAGAAGTACTGGCATAATGCCTCATAAAAGGATGACTATGAGACACATGTATCAAAAAAAAGACCGTGTGTTATATGAGCCTAAGAAGCAACATGGAAATTTACTGAGAAGATCTCCAGAAGAGTGGGTGACAAGTCTTGGTATCCTGATAAAAAAAATTCACTAGAGTAATCCAATTTCCAATACAATTCTATCTGTTTCTAAAGATGTCAAGCTCTTTAGTTATAAAGTTCCTTTAGTTATAAAGGAAACATGTAAAATCATTTTGAGTCTAAAAAATATGATCCAATCATTACATGTAATGTAATGTGTATATTCAAATTAGCATTTATACAGATTGGGTATGTACCATGTAATGCATGTATTTTGCCTAGACAGTCACACTTGTAGCACTTTATATACTTAAGAGAATGCTATGAGAGAACGCTAATTGTTTCTGAATTACAGAGTTAAAGAAAAGAATGTAATATTCATATGGAAAAAAATGGCTTTATTGAATATTAAAAGCACACCCGTTGCTCTCATTTTGCTCTAAAAAAAAAAATCTTCTTTAGCAATCAGAGCTGAAACCAAGATTATGACCATGCAGAAGCAAGTTCTGTTAAATAAGCAAATCAAAGACACTAGATATTTGCCCTTTAAAGTGCTGAGAAACTCAAATTGTCAAGACATGTACAAAGAGGTATTTGCAGCAGTGTGCAACACAAACCAAAAAACTATACTAGCGTTTTTTTTCCCCATGTGTTTTAATTCAAATAAGACATTTCATAAGATATTTCACAGGCTCTATGCTATCAGTTGCTAAAATTACCCATATAGCAGCAAGAGATGATGTTGAATGGATGGGTAAATCTAATACAAAACAGAAAGGGACTGCATGGAGCACCCCACGCTTTATTTGCTTCGTGCCAGTAGGAAAGCTGTGATTTCAGAAGTGAGAATTCAGAAGCAGAAAGAGCTCTCCAGGCTCCAGCTGGTCCTGTAGCTTGTGACCAAAGCCTGACTTTCCTCCCTATCATACAGTTCCAGTTCCAAATCCACACAGGGTGGGTTTTAACCCAGGCATGGTAAAGACAGCACTACTTCCTAGTCAGAGGTATAGACCTGATTTGCCTTTATCTTGAGAAATGTGATACTAGCAAATCTCATGCAGTAGAAGATACACAATAACATATTTAGAGCTCAGATAAAGTTTCCTCCTTAACACCATCAGTTTGGTCCTGTAGGGACCTCCTGCAGGGAGTTAACAGGTGTGGCTCAGCACCAGTCCTCCTGCCCCAAGGCTTATTTCACATGCAGCAGCCCAGGTGTCTCAACAGATGGCAAGATAGCAGAGTCAACAAGCTCATAACAACAAAAGCCATAAACCCCAGCTTTGTACCACTCGAAACAGACATACCAAACCCAGAGTTTCCTCAAGGCCTATGGGAAATTGGCTACAAGAAACCAGGCAAGATTAAAGGAGAGCAGATAGCTGCTTCAGACATCTTCCCATTACTGGAGGTTCTTGAGATACAGCAAGACATTTCTTGAGGACATCAAGAAATGAGGAAGCCCAAGTCCATGACTTGGATCAAGTTTAACACTTGTCAGAGAGGTTATAACTAATTTGTTCTAAAACCCACGGAAAGTGGGTATTACAACTTCCTGAAAAAGCCTTCTCTGTCCTTGCAATTAGCACCTGGGAAGTTTTCCTTAATATTCAACCTGGTCTTGCTTTTTGCAAAAAAAGAGGATTCTTTCCTGCTTTTTTTCTCCCCACAAAATTCGGACTATTACTAGAATAGAAGAATCTACATCTTTTAACCATAACCTGTATATCCTTTTTTGCCAAATCTCTGTATTTTTGTGACACTTAGATATATAGGTTTTGCAGTTCCCCAAGTAGAATAGGCCAAAAAAAAGTTACATAAACTGCATATGTTTTCTGAAGTAAGTGTAAAGTCTTTTCAAACCAAATTCTCAGTTATCCAGCTATAGAAAATCTCAATGCCTTTTAGGCAATGAAAGCTGTGGCAATCTACATATAGTTTTGTGACAGATGATGACACCCAGGACCCTATAATATCTGTTGACTTTGCACATACGGAAATAATGGGACTTATCTTCATTCTAGAAAAAAATGAAAGAGTTTGGCTAGGAAGGAAAGCAGTTAGCAGAAAAGGCAGATTTAAACAATACCTTACTGCTTCAGGTTCTAGTTTAGTGGTCCGTGCAAACTCAAACTCTGACTATAAAAATCAGACAGACTAATTTCATATGACATCATTTGTACCAAGCATCGTATGGAGCACCCCTTAAACAATGAACTTGAGACTAGTACTTAGTATAGCAACTATTTCATAGTTTAAGATATAGTTTAATATGTTTCTAGCCATTGAATCAGAAATTTCTTTACCGAATTAGCAACTACCTCCAACAAACCTTCTCATTTCCCATAAACAACAGAAATTCTTCACTTCTATTTGTTCAGTCTTAAATTGGAAATTTAATATCTCATTCAAACATTTCTTACAGTGAACTGGAATACGAAAATTGAGTCTGGCCTGAAAATCCTGGGAAGAATAAAATGCCTTTTATAATCCAGTTAAAAATGAATTTATACTTTAATTTCATCTTCACATACCTTTTTAAGCCAATAGGGAGATGTTAAAAATGTAGAGGATCCAAAATTTTCTCCTGTAGATGGTGATGGATATGGATGTGGTAAATTTAATCCTAAGTAAAGAACAAATGGCTGAGTAAAGTTAATGGCTTCTTCCTTTATCCAATTTACTGCTTTATCAGTGTTCTGCCAATCTCTTTCCATCACTCTTATGCGTGTCTTATTCCCAGTAAGTTTGACCATGGGTCTCCCTTCTTGTCGGAGCAGGAAGTCAACATCCCTGGTCCAGGCTTCCACACGGTTGCTAAAAACAAATATGCAAGATACATATTCAGTGGAAAGTGTTTTCTTCTCTTTTCCCCCACATAAAAACCTAAGAATTCAAGGAGACTTGTTCTAGATCATTCTATTTGTAACTTCTATATAAAGGAAGTTGTACCATGTTAACCAATAGTTACTGTATACTTACAGCTTTAGTCATATCTTTCTACTTCTGATCTTTTTTTATATTATAGCTTAGGATAAAAGTCTTCCTGCCTCTACAAGATAACATTCGTAAATACCACCTGTATCTTGTTGACCTTGCTTCACATTTTGCCACTGATTCATATGCCATTCTTCTGGCAAAAAAAAGACCTTGGATTTTTATTAGAAAAAGTCCTTCAGAAGTAACTTCCTGGGGTAGCTGCTGTTAGAAGCAATATTTGTTTTTTTGGGTTGTATTTCTTTAGCTTTTTTTAAAGACTATCACTTAGGACAAAAATCCATAAGAGTGATTTATCCTGTACAATTCCTTTTGATATGGTCAATAAATACTATCAAGTAGTAAAGTTTTAGGGAGAAAGGAGCAGTGGAAAAGACACCACTTCAATGATAAAATATTTTTGGAACAGATTTTTTAATATCATTACAACTGTTGCCTCTCTGCAAATACTCAGAAATTTAAGCCGCAGATGTCCTATTTCTTTGCCAGAGTGAATGACTCCAAAACTGTCATAAACAAAGGTTGGAAAGAAACATTCCATTTAAAATATCTACTAATCTTCACTTTGTTTGTGGAAATTTTAATATCACCATAGAAATGATTAAAAAAAGGAAATTGCTCTACATCTGATCATGTACTTTCCTTAAAACATGTCATTATGAATATTAAAAAACATCAAACAGCTTTCACTCAGGAATTTTAATAGTATATTTTTAACTTCCAGAAGAACTACTAAGATTATTTGTAACAATGAAAAATATTTTATTGTTGATAGTCTTATTTAGATTTATGCATGCTTTTGAGATAAACAGGGTTAATTGAATTATTCACAACAAATGTAATTAGCTTGACCACCTAGAGAGAAATATTCTCAATAAATATGTATTTGGTAAATATAAAAATTAACTGATGGCGTTGTTCTGTGTGTGCATATCTCAGACTACATACAATGTCATAATGTTGGGGCCAAACTCTTCTTGGTGGTGGCCAGTGACAGGACAGGGGGTAATGGGCATAAATTAAAACCCAGGCAGTTCCATCTATACTGAGAAATACATTAGCTAGGCCACAGATCAGTCTGATTATCCACTCAGAGTGAGGTTAGGACAAAGCTAAACAAACAGACAAACAAAACCCCCCAAAACTTCAGGCCATTCCTTCATTCTGGAGTAACATAGACATTGTCCTGACACATGCAAGAGGAGCACTTATCCTGCGGCAGAGGAAGAGAAAAAGACAGACTGTAATATATATCTTCAAAACGTTAGGTGGATGAACGAGAAAAAAAAAAAAAGAGGAGAGAGCAATATATATTAAATTCAACCTCTGAATTTAAACTTAAAGAGCAAGGACTCAACAAGTAATTACTCAAAATCTTCAGAACTGAATCCTTACTCTCATGAAGGAGGATCACACCTCCTTTGCTAGGAGACAGTATTCTGAATATAACAAGCATAGAATGGATAAAGCGAGTAAGAAATAAAGGATGGGAAAATAACAACGTTTAAACAATGAAGATAAAGCTTAATGAGTTACTATTATAAGTTAAAATAGCCAATTTTTGATAGCCAATCCCTATCTCTATTTTAATTCTTACATGAAGACAGTCACTAACATTCAAAGGGACAACTGGAGTCTTTTTGACAGGTAGTTAGCAGAGGTTTACATATTCAACAGTCAGGAGGCTGAAGATCTAGACCTTTCTTTCTATATATATAAGTATGCACATTCATACATATTTCATTGTAAGTATTTCCTAGCAGCCTTTTTCCTCAGATCATGCAGCTATGATTAATCATCTTACAAATAAGTCACAATCAAATGGGTACTGAGTATATTTCATTACGGATTTCTGTTTTAGAGATAGGTAAACTTCCATATCTAGGATCAGGTCTGGCTGTTTCCTCTCTGTTTTAAGGTATGTTTTCAGGAACAGTTTTAGGACACATTCAATACAGTCTTCTGTAGCATGCAGATATTGTTTAGGTGTTCCTGCTTGAGCAGGGGGTTGGACTAGATGATCACTAGAGGTCCTCTCCAACCTCAACCATCCTGTGATTCTGTGATTCTATGTAAAGAGAGGATTTATTTGTCTTTGCAATGCATTGTTTGCAAGAATTAGGAAAAGGCAAAATCAGTTTATACCATACAAATAAATAACTTAATATTGCAGCAGGAAAAGCAGGAAAGTTTTTTTTTTTTTTTAAGCTATCTGTGTGGGGTGTGGGAGCAGTTTTGTTGTTGTTGTTTAAGCAAAATTCATGTGAGGTAAGTTTCTAAAGAAGTAATACTGCCCACTGTGTTATATTAAATCCATTTTTTGGAACAAGGTGGTTTCCACTGAACCTAGCATCCTTCCCATGCTAACTGACCTTTTTATATCCCTTTGCTATTCTCTTTTTTAACAAGAAATTAAAAAAACAGGGCGCTTCTAATTATTTCAACAACGATCAGAAACCTTCATAACAACTCTTCCCCACTACTTACAGATTAGTTAATTATCTACTTAAGATTTTAATGTCTGCACAGATATTAGTTCATTCTCAATCTCCATTTACATTTATTCAAGTAACTATAAGGGCCTGATCTTTTTAAATAAAGGTCTCAATCTCTCACTAAAAGGCAAGTTTAAAAAAAAATCAGAGATTTGCATTAGAGGCTGCTACAGGATGAGGACCTACCTATGCTTCAGTTTCTTTCAGTTACCTTTGAAGCATCATTCAGCCTCATGAGAATATAAACTATGTGGTCATATTATGTGATTATATGGCTATGTCATAACTGCAGGTTTCATTTCATATAAAAGTTGACTGTTGAGAGTAATAAAAGTCCATCAGTTTTATCGTGGGCTGGAATTTGAAAGATGTCATAATAGTCACCTAAGTCTGCACAAAATTTTTTAAGAACTTCCACTATAGATATGAACATTTCTGTAAATTGCTAGCATCACTTCTATTATTAAATACAAAAATTCAATCCTTTGCTTTCTCAAAAAAAAAGTTCTATAACTGGCACCTCACAGTACATTGTTAAGATTAACTACACTCTTCTAAACAACACAAATGCCTGGGATAGTCACAACAAGCTATCTTTAACCTACAACAACACAAACAACTGCAAGCATTCATCTTACTGTTCTCTTATGTTCCCTGCTGATAATAACAGTATTATGCATAACAAGCACGAAGAATCAAAATAATATTATAAGCAGTTGGCTTTTAGCATGTTGTATATTTAATTGTTTCTTACTGAAAAAGAGAAGTGTTAGGGATAAGGCAGTCTTAAAATAAGATTCTAAAGCAAAAGACCTGAGGAAGAACATCCATCTGTTCTTAGCTTAGATAGTAAGTTATTAAGTGGAGGAATAAGCAGAGGCAACAGAGAAGCATTAGCAGTACTTAAATATATACACTCTTTAGTAGAGAAAATACACAGGAACATCATAAGCTTTTGCTGCAAGTCTGCAATTAATTAATCCCTTGTTTCCAGTAAAAACTTGCCACTTGGGAGAAAAAAAAAAAGAGAGGGGAAAAAAAAAGGAAGGAAAAGCATTTTTTCATCATCTAAAACTGGAGAAGTTTTATTAAATTAGGTAACTAACTTTCTTCTCAAGCAGGTAATATTTTAAAAGTACTTTGTCAATGAAAAGCAGTATGTTCTGTTCTGTTCTTTCATGTTGAACAAAACTACAATTTTGATCTTCATCTTCCAAACAATGATAAAGGACAAAGTGCATCTGCATCAGCTATGCTTGCTTCATAAATTTGCAAGACCCGCTACATTCATTATACAATTTCTCTTAAATAAACGCTACTACCATTTCACCCAGGGACAAAAGCCACTTCCCAAACTATTACATGATTTATTTGCTCCTGTCCATACCACAGGAGGACAGTCTATCTCCTTACCTCACTGAATGATGTCCAGAAGTATAGTCTATTTTCCCAAACTTCTTTGTGTGGTAGCCATGCTTCTGCAGAAGATCCATCCACGTTACATAACCTGGATCTAGGCCTTTGAAGTTATTCCAAGATTCGGTTAAGTGAGTGAAAAGACCACTCCACATAGCTGGAAAAAAAGAAAAGTTTTATTTACTACTAAAAGCTACTCATTTATTCAGCTCTTGTTATTCTTCTTGACGGCAGTGAAGATATACCTTTGGACTAGGAAGGAAGAGTAGTTCTGAGGGCAGCTTCAGCAGTGCAGCTGGCAAACTGACAATTTAAATAAAAATCTTAAAGGTTTTTTAAAAAATACCTACACTTTAGAGAAGTTTGCAAAGCAATTTGGGAGCTCAGAAGTATTGTGAAAAGCAAACTGGAACATTAAAAGAAGAAGCATGAAAAGCAGAAAATAGAGAGGGCCCAAATATCAGAAGCACACTGAAAAATTTGAGTCTTACTAAGGAAGAAAGCAAAAAGACCCCAAACTGATGTACGCCCATCATTAGCACATAAGTTGACAAGCCTCCAAATTTACCATTTTCTCTCATATGACATTATGTTTGGTCCTACCTGCACGGGAAGGACAACAAATTGGCGAATTGGTATAGGCCTTGAGAAAGACGGTGCCATATCGCTTCATGAAATTTATGAAAGGCAAGGCCACAGTCTGATTTCCTGGATGAAATGTTAAGCGTCCATCCTGAATCAAACAGATCAAATTGGGGGGGGGAGGCAGGAGAAAAGGGACTACGTAAACAGTGGTACTCCGCATTATTGCCTACGTTATTTCAGCAATACAACTGTAGGGGTGCATATATGGTACATGCACCTCTTCGTGTGTGTCACCAGAGCTGTGCTCCATATCCCTCCTCCTATTCCACACAACACCTCTGTGAACTTCTTTCAAACTACGGCTGGGAAAAATGATTAGTAAGCTGTAGGGAGGCTATTCTTCCATGAAGAACAGACCACAAAGGCTTCCTTGTGGCTTACTTCTCATTTTATTCATTTCTCCTTTTTACCCTGTCACTGTCATTTCCCATCACTTGTTTCTCTTCTTTTGGTTCAATAAGATATCTTCACTCAGCCAGCCTTAAACTATACTGCTCTTTGGTGAGAGGGCTGTTGAGAGTGAACCTGCAAAGATGTTAACAGATCTCCCATGCAGCTCTAAGTGTCTGAGTAACCCTCCCCTAACATTGTGACAGTGGCATGAATAGCTTAAAACAGGGGCAGCTTAACGGTTGAGTTTTGCACAGCACTCCTTTGCAATAGCAGTACGTGGACAGCAGAGTGCATCCAACTTAAGCTACAAATTCACCACCTACTGGCTCATTGGCAGCAAAGCCTATGCCCAAATGTGTATGAATCACCTTATGAGCCTCTGCAACATAAATGCCAGCATGTAAAACCTTACCTCTAGCACATATAGTCAGCCCTACTAATTATCTTATTTTTATTAAGGGAGAGGAGTTCACGTATTGCAACCCATAGTACAGTAGCTGACAAATGATGGCTGCTCTGTGCTAACTTGCTTATGCCCACGCATGGGTGACAAGCATCACCAGCATACCAAAAATGTTCTGCAGGTCACATACTGAGCAGGGAAACAAAATAAAACAAAAAATACCCCAACTGCTTCACTGAAGCCACTACCTAGAAACAACCGGAGACCTTTGACCATCCACAGTCTCAAGAGATGCAAGACCTTAATGCCTTACCATCTGTGGCATTTTGCCTTTAAAATAATGAGATGCTTAAAACAGTCACAAATTCCTCTCTAGCAAGTGAGTCACGGTGAAACCCCAAAGGACAACACAAGATGTTATCATGTTACCAACTTAGAACAAAACAGGCTGCCTTTAACCTTAGAAATATAATTAGTATTTGTATTTGTTAATGAAAAGGATGTTCCTCTTTTTACCTCTCTGTGGGACTAAAACATATTTATGAGTGTTATAAAAAAGAAAGAGAGAGAGCTCATAAAAACGTTCCTAGTGGCTCCTACACAACTCTAGTTGCAGAAACCCACCTGACAGATTTAAAGCAACAAAAGTTATACCCGTTAAAACCTGACTACGATGCCCACACGGCGCTCGCGAGCCCGCCAGGTGGGACGGGGCCGTCCTGTCAACGGCCGCTC